CTGATCCAAAACCTTCAAATGGCCACACCTTATCTTCTATTACCTCCTGACCGATCATCCCAGATCATCCTTTCTCCTTACTGCCCTTTCGCCCCCCATACCCTCTCCAGACTCATTACCACCCCTGCCTGTGCTCATGTAACTCTCCCATCCCTTGTTTCAATGGAGCCTTCAGTAGATAATCATAACCTACACTACTTTTCCTTTCTCTGAATTTTTAAACCCAGTGGAATGCTAGCTCTTGGGAGGGGAGTAGCAGAGAAAGGCCCTCATTTATAGTGTTTGCCAATAACCCTCACTATGGCAGACTTCAAGCTATCAATGTAACATCACTGATTGTGAAATTGGGAAGAGATGTGCACAAAGCCACTAGGAACTGGCTCCAGGACACCACAGAACTGAAAACCTGTTGTAATAAAAAACTTTATATTGCCATGTAAAAGCCCTCCAAGTGTACTATATAAGTATGTTTGTTCATTACAATAAACTTCAACCCAAGGAGTGGCAATCCACTCATTTTCTTTTCCTCCCTCCCTCCTTTCCTTCCCTCTCTCTCTCTTTAAATCCTCACCCAAAGATATATATTTTTTCCCATTGTTTTTCAGAGAGAGAGAGAGAGAGAGAAACATCGATGTGAGAGAGACACATTGATTGGTTGCCTCCCGAGCCCCAACCAGGGCCAGGGACAAGCCTGCAACCCAGGTACATGCCCTTGGCTGGAATCGACCTGAGACCCTTCAGTCCGAGGGCTCTAACCACTGAGTCAAACCGGTCAGAGCAGCCCACCCATTTTAGAGCTTTCATAGCGTACAGGGCACAAAGTGTGTACTTAATAAAAACCTGTTGGCAAGACCTGGAGGGGGAGAGAGGCAAAGCCAAACACTGGAGCAGTAGAAATGGGCATGTACTCATTTAAGGTTGGTTAGCAAGAACAAACAAACAAACAAAATAAATGTAGTGGAAATAAAATCAGAATGGGAGCCAGGAGATTTTGGTTATGGACCACCTTTGTACTCATGTGACCCCTGGCAAGTCAATTTCTTTCTTGAGCCTTAAGTTTCTTCATCTTTAAAATTAGGGGCATGGACTACAGTACTTCTATGATACCTCTTGATTCTAATGCTCTGTGATGTGGGCTGAACTGACAAGGAGGTTGCCATGGTCCACTGAATTGGTATAAAAGTGATAATAAATTCATTTTAAAATCCACTGATAAGTCGAAGGAGTTTAGGGCAGTAAAACTTTCTGAAAGTGTGAAGAAAGGTTCTTATAAGGCCCTTCCATTCCTTTGACTTAATAATTATTCTGTAGAAAGACACAATGTCCTGAAGGTTATATCTATTTTCTTCTACTTTCAGAAAAGAGGTGAGATAACTCGCCTTGTATCTGTAGTGATACTTCCTAGTCTCTCTCATCCAAAAAAATATCTATTGCCTGTCTACTATGAGGTGGACACTGGTAAGTGCTGACGATTTAGTAAAAACAACACAGATCCAGTCTTTACCTTCATGAAACCCACACTAGTGTGGGTCAGTAGCTATTTAGTTCCAAATCATCTGTATCAATGCTTTTAAAGTTAAAGAATACAAATTGATCTGAGTAACTGATGCAAGCTATGGACCCTCTCTCCATAAACAGGTATATAAGCATAAAAATTTGAATATGATTATATATTATATATATTACAATTTCATAGGACCTCACATCTGTAAAGTGGTCCAAATATTGCAAGTTAACCCTGACCTACATCTACAAAACAATAAACAAATTCAAACTCATAAAAGCCCATATTCTGTTTGCTAAGGGAGCATAGCAAAGATTTTTTGACAGAAACAATTAAAAATAAAAGGCCATCATTTAAATTATTAAGCTTTGGCTATTTGAAATTTCACTCACCTAAAGTATCTTATTCCAAGTAATATTCTGGATAAGTGAGGTATACAGTGGTCCCTTGATACCTGAGCGGTATTGGTTCCAGGACCCACTCAGATACCAAAATTCAAGGATGCTCAAGTCTCTTATATAAAATAGCATAATATTTGCATATAACCTATGCACATCTTCCCCAATGCTTTTAGTAGCCTTTAGAATACTTATAATACCTAATACATTATAAATACTATGCAAATAGCTATTCTGCATTATTTAGGAAATAATGACAAGAAAAAGTGTACAAGTTCACTACAGATGCCACCATCATAGACCTAATTAGACAGTAGACATCAGCAACAAGGTACCATGTGTTTTTGTGGACTTTGTTTTTTTGAGTATTTTTGATTGGTGCTTGGTTGAATCTGTGGGTAGCAGGAGGACAGACCTCTACATTACTTGGTTCAGGATGCTTGTCACATCAGTTTTCTTACTTGAAAATCCAATTGCATATGGATATGTGCTTCCCTTTCATAAGTAAATCTGCATTTCATGACTCTCATTGCACATGAGACCCAATTAGCCATGACAAATACATAAACACACTTCGAGGAGGCAACTTGAACAAGGGCAAAGAGCACTAGCTCCAGAATTAGAGGGCAGGCTCATCTCCTGGCTCTAACATTGTGAAGGGAAGTGATCTTGGACAAATCGTTTAACCTTTTGACCTATGTTTCTTCATTTGTAAAATGGAGATGGGATGGTAAGGCTTACATAAGAAGGCTACAGTGAGAAATCAGTCAAAGTAAAATAATATATGTGAATGTATTTAGCTATAAAATGGGCAAAAGTTGGTGAGCAAGTTATTTGGACTTGCTCACAAAGCATCGGGCATTCATAGAAGATCACTTGGAAAGAGCTGCTTATAGAACATCTTCAGTGGATCTATCTGGAGTAAAATTGTTCTTAAATTGCTCAAGCGATTTTTTCTTCTTCTTTAAAACTGGGGAGAGCGCAAACGCAGTCCTCCACTACCACAAATTATGCAGTGGAGTTTCCCACATTTGAGAAAATTGCAGGGGTAAGCACATCCAGAGTGCAAAACCACCTTCCTGATTATGGTATCTCCCCTGCCAGGTAAATATGGAATTTTGTTTTGATTGAGTGCCCAACAGTGAAGTTCTTAAACATCAAAAGTCTGCTGAGAGGCTCTGGAATCTTTATAATGCATAAATATATTCTCAAGGCAAGAAGATGAACTACTTATAAACACTCCCTTAGTTCCTATGTAGTCAAAGTCCCTTTTACTCACTACATTTTAGCTTTTTTACAGAACAACAATTCTTTCGTTTACAGTGCTGAAAAGCTTTGTAACAGTTAAAAGGGATGTACAGTAGCCCTGCCTTTTCGAGGGGGATACATTCCAAAACCCCCAGTGGATGCCTGAAACAAGGAATAGTACCAAACCCTGCATATACTACATTTTTTCCTATACATATGAACACTTTACAGTTTCTCTTTGGCATATCCGAATTGCCAGCATCACTACTCTTGTGCTCTGGAGCCATTATTTAGTAAAATAAGGGTTACTTGAACTCAAGCACTGCGATACCACAACAGTCAATCTAATAACCAAGACAGCTACTAAATGACTAGCAAGCTGGCAGTGTATACAGAGAAGATGAAGGAATGGTTCATGCCCAGGGGTGAGATGGAGCGGGAAGGTGCAAGATTTCATCATATTATTCAGAACGGCCTGAAACTTCAAATGTATAGGTTCTTTATTTCTGGAATTTCCCATTTAACACCTTGCTGACCAGCTATTTCAAACCAGAACTCGCCCGTGTGGCCAGCTACTTTGGTCAGTAAGGTGTTTAAAACTACTTAAATTAATGTAAGTGCAGACACGAGTTATCTCCTGACCCGTCAGCAAGGTGTATTTACAGACCACGATTGACCATGGGTAACAAACTGTGGGAAGCAAAACCGCAGATAAGGGGTGGGGGACACTACAGTATACAAAAGATTTTAGCCAAATTAGTTGAACAAAACTGAACAAATCAATAAAATCAATCTCTTTTAGTGGAGGGGGTATTTGTTTTCAAGTAAATAATATTCTCCAATTTGAGACATGTTTTCTAGTCCATGCTCTACTGGAATGCAAAATAAACTATGTACGTAAAGAATAACTTTTTTTACATTACTTAATTTACAACGTACACATATTATTTCCAAAGCCAAGTTTAAGGTGATTCTTCCTTTAGAATTTAAATTAAACGTCTTTTTAGTAATTTGGTACCAAGGAATAAAAGATAAATCATTGAGCCTTATCAAAACTTATTAAGGTGACCAAGAGTGATTTGCACTGGTGCCAAGAAAAGAGCCAAGAGGTAAATGCTAATTTCTTAGTCCCTAATCAGGAAAAGCTCTGCTGGTTCCCAAGAAGGCAAATTAGGCTCTGAATCCAAATACTCATTATATAAATGTCTACTAGGAAAACAAACTGCAGAGCCTGCATTTATATAACACCTGAAGAAATTCAAAGCACTTAATTGTAGAACTGTTTAAAAGAAATGCATCCCCCATTTTAAGGAAACAACTGTGAGACCTTTAAATCCTTTGCCTAATCAGACACTAAAATGGTAGGAAACTCCAGACTATAGGTTTTCTCGGACAGCAGAGATAAACTCCAGATGGGGGGCCAGGGGGGACTCAAGACTCAAGTAGAGTAACGGAGAGAAGGGAGAGGTTACGGTGTAAAGCTGCTGAACTATGAATCACGCAATGAGGGAATTCTAGGGATGGAGGGTGAACTAAGAGCCGAGCTCCGAGGAGGCTGGTGATGGGAGGGGGTTAGAGGCGGGGGAGCAAGGGCTCCTAAAGTTGGTGGGAGCTGTGTGGACGGACAGCCAGGCGCGAGTGTCAATCCGGGCCAGCCCGCGCGCCTGCTCAGCAGTTGCTCGCTTATACTTGCTCGCTCCCATTATCACTACCATGCAGGGAGAATTCCGAGCAACTTGAGGGAAGTGCGTGATGGCACCAACCACCTACCAGGCCTGGGAAAGCTGCAGGAGTCCTCCAACCCCAGGGGCTAGGCTTCCCGCCCTCCCTCAGCCCGTCCCGCGTCTCACCCGCCGCCAGGCGCAGGCCGCGGAGGCTCCCCATGGCCACCTACTCCGCCGACCAGCAAGGCGCCTCGGGGGAGGCGATGACGCGGGGGCACGCAAAGTCACTGAGTGCGGTTCGGGGAAGGACGCGGGCGGCGAAGGAGAGGGGGGGCTGTGGGACGTGAGGGTGGAGCGAGCGGGTCGTGCGTGACGCACTGGACGTATGGGCGGGGCTTACGGGCGTGACTTAGGTGATGTGTGGGACGTGCGTGACGCGCAGAATGTGCGAGTGGCGCGTCCTGCGCTTCCCTCTTGGCGCAGGGTCGTCCGCGCGTCCTTAAAATGTTCTTGTAGAGTATGGGCGCAATGGGCGTTTGCAGTATTATTCTTTGCGTTTAAGAAAGTAGTCGTTTAAAGTAGTGGTGTGCTCAGTGTAGAACTTTGGCGAACTGCAGACTCCTGAAGTCACACTGCCTAGGTGAATCAGTATTTCAGTACACTGTCCTAACAGTGTTTTCAACGAGTATGATCCTTTATCAAAAACACGTAGCTGGGGCCCAGGGGCCCCCATCCCTTCTTGGCTTTGGGAGTATCTCTTAGGCTAATTGAGACATTAGTATGTATATTTCCTATTTCTTTTTACCGATTTTTATAAAACTAAACATTTGCACACCTAACACCTTTTCAACCCTCATGCACCCACGCTGCCAGAAATGTCTTTTCTTGGCACTTCTTAGTGGTCCCAAATTCTTAACAAACCAAGACCCCTCAGCTCTAGGGACGGGAGCTAGATAATAGAGTGGGAGGGTTAAGAAAAACCACTTCTCCAGGTTTCCTCCTCGATCGGCCTGGTTGGTGCGACCAGGAAATCGTTTCCGTTTTTATAGGAAGATGGGATTGGGGTAAAACGATCCCTTCAAGTTTTGACATTCTTCGATCCATGCACATAGGTCAGTTCTAAGAGGACATGACGAAGTCGCAATGAAAGTTATCTCATAAAGGGGTAGGAGTGAAATGAAGGACAGCAGAGTTCCAGGTTTTCAAGCGAATGATGACCAGGGAAAAGACAAGCCTAGAGCTCAGCTTTCTCGCTAATTTCCCTGGAAATATTTTGTCAGGCGGCGCGGCGGACACCTTTGCTCCCCGGTGATTGGCTCGCGTCCGGGGCCTCGCGTTTGTCCAATATGGCGGCGCCCAGTGGCGGTGTGAGCTGTGAAGAGTTCGCCGAGTTCCAGGTGATGGGGTTTTTCCCAGTGGCTGGTGTGTCCTTTCTTTTGTCCCCGTACTCTGTTCCCTCTTCTGGCTTAGGAGGGGGTGCGAAGCAGTCGTGGAAGAAGCGGGCAATTCAAAGCTCCTTTTTTCGAGCCATTGGAGGTCATGGGGGGCGCGGGGTTGGCCTTAGGGAGCCAGGCTGCTCCTCGGGGGTCATGGTTCTCTCTGAAGCCCAGGCCTTGAGTAACCGTGCTGGAAACTCCGGTGGTTGCGCGGTGGTAAAGCCGAGCTCCGGCCCGGTGGGTGGGGATTGTAACAATCTTTTAGCCGTTCGCCGAAATCTGTTCCTAGCCTGTACCATTCTCCTCGTGTTTTAAGTTGAGCATTTGTAGGACATTTAAAAAAAATAGGTGGAGAGTTTATTTACTCGATAAAAAAAACACAGTTTGGTACAAGTTTTACTATTTTGGTGAAGTATAACATTTGGAGTCTTGGAGGGGCGATTAATTCTAGTACCTGCCCTGGTGTTGCTGCCTTTCTAAGCATTAGAGAAAATGTAACATTTAAGAAAAAGGCTGTATCTTTTATATATTCAAACACCAGAGGTCTGGGGTTAAATATTAACCCCAGAATTAAAGAACAAGGGTTTGGATTTTGACCAAGTCGCAAGGAAAGTTATCTGTTCCAATGTAGGCACAAATGTGAGAGACTGTCTAGGTAAAGAATTGAATTTAAAAATCATGACCTTACAAATGTGTTTTTAACTGAAGATATTGAAAAGTCATTTCACGTGTCACTGATTGGTCTGTAGTAAACTTTGCTTTGAGCCATTTTGTAGAGAGTTGTATTCTTGAGGATAACCTCAACAGACTGAATTCTTTGACAAACATCATTTTACCAAAGAACTTTATGTGGGATTTTTTTTTTTTTTTTTAACGTGGGGTCATTATTTGCACCCACTTCAGCTGCTTCTCAGACTAGCTCAGCACAGCAGCTGACTTCAGATGTGATCCGTGTTCCCAATAAAGACAAACATTTGTAAAAATCTTAAATAGAATTAAAGAAGCATATTGAATTTTAAAGTATATGGGCTATTTAAGGTTTATTGGCCCATTTGTAGCCTTGGTTTTTATCACATTAGTACTATGATTTAATTTGAGTTAATACACTCAATATAATTTTGCAATGATAGTTTTAAGGTTTATGAGAAAGAGCCTTGGTTAGTGAGTTAGAAGTTCAGGGTTCTACGACTGCTTCTGTCATTAACAGCTGTGGAACCTTGAGCTCATAACTTAACCCCTTTGGGAATTAACTTTTGAATCTATAAAATAAGATTATGTTAAGTAACATTTAAAATTTCTTCCATCTCTATAGTTATTTGAATCTTTAAAACCAAATTTCAATGGATCTCTTTTTGCTATTAAAACACTGACTTTTCTTTGGGAAGGTCAGATAAAATGTAAGTGGGGCAAAAGCTAAACTGCCTTGCAGAACCAGTCCATTCACAGATGAAAGATCATAAAATCAGTCTCATTAGTGAAACCTGGGGGAAGTTTCTAGATACTTTCTCTAGGGCTTTTCCAAATGCATGTTACAATGGAGAATATCCTAGGTTAAAAGTCAGAAGATCTGGTTTCCCAGAGCTGGCCTTGGCAGATCATTTAATCTCATTGTAAATGAGAATAACAGTTGCCCCTACTGCCTCAGGCACACAAGTACATAAGCGAAGGTGCTATAAAATTGTAAAACTTTAGGATAGCATTTAGGTTTTGGTGAATTTGGTAAAATTGTAAAGCATGGTTAACTGGCATATTCACAAATTATTAAGCAAAGCTTAAATTTTTTAAAGCTATGCAACCATTACATTTTCTATGTAAGTACCCTAAATGTGAAAAGCACTGCATTGAATACTGTATTTCTTTTGATATTTTTTTCCTTCTTATATTTTTGTATGTATTTTTTTATTATAAAGATTGTGTTTTTTTCAGAATTTTATTATGAAAATACTCAAACACTACAGAAAAGTTGAAAGAATTGTACATTGAACACTCATGTACGCACCATCTAGATTCTGTAATTGGTGATTTGCGGTATTTATCAAATAACAATCCATCAATCCACCTTTTTATTTTAATTTTATTTATTCATTTTGAGAGAGAGCAAGGGAGAGGGAGAGAAACATTGACTGGTTGCCTCCTGGGAGTATGCACCTGGACTGGGGGTCAAACCCACAATCTGGGGATGTACCCTGATCGGAATCAGACCCAAGACCTTTTTGTGCACAGGATAATGCTCCAACCAACTGAGCCACACTGGCCAAGGCCACCTTTTTATTTTTTTGAAGCATGTCAAACTAAGTTGTGGACATCCCTAAACCTGTCTTTCATCATGCATATCATTAACTGGAGTTCAATATTTGTTTACTTGCTTTCTGTAAAATTTGCATTAGTGAAATACACAAATCTTAAGTATACCATTATTTAAATGAGTTTTGACATTTATATACAACTCCATCAACATAAAGAATAATACCATTATCTCTGAAAGTTTCTTCATACCCCTTCCCAGTCAATCCCTGCCCCTGACAACTAGTGTTCTTATTTTTTTCCATATAGGTGCATGTTTATTTATTTACTTATTTGTTTATAAGTTTAGAGAGAGAAAGGCAGGGAAAGAGAAACATCGATTTTTTTTGTTTTGTTCCACTTATTTATGCATTCATTGGTTGATTGTTGTTCATACCCTCACCAAGGATCTAACGCGAAACCTGAGGCATCCAGCTGATGCTCTAACCAACTGAGCTAACTTAGCTAGGGTATAGGTGTAAGTTTTGTTTTTGTTTTTTCTTTTTAATCCTCACCCGAGGATATTTTTTCCTTTGCTTTTTAGAGAGAAGAGTGGAAAGGAGTGGGGGAGAGAGAGAAACATCAGCGTGAGAGAGACACATCAGTTGGTCACCTCCCACTTGCGCGCTGACTGGGGCTGGGGATTGAACCTGCAACTGAGGTGCTTGCCCTCGGCTCGAATCAAACCCGGACCCGCTGTCTGTGGGCCAATGCTCTAACCACTGAGCAATACTGGCTAGGGCATATGTTTTAAAGTTTAAGAGTTTTTAAAGTGTTTTAAATTTTTACAATTCTTATTTTTCTATTATAAAAATTGGACTTAGCACTCCTGGAAAACATCCTATTTCCAAAATGAAATAAAACCCAGGAAAGAATGTTCAAAATTGAATGTCTGGAATCCCATTTTAACACTCAGCAAGAATTTATTGGATATTGTATTAGTTTGCTAGGGCTGCCATAACAGATATCACAAATGGGTGGCTTAAACAACAGAAATTTATTTTTTCACAGTTCTGGAAGCTAGAAGTTCAAGACCAGAGTCCTATCAGGATTGGTTTCTGGTGAGCCTCTCTTCCTGGCTTGCAGATTGCTGCCTTCTCACTGCATTCTCACATGGCATCTTTATACACGTAGAGGGGGAAAGATCTCTGGTGTCTCTTTCTCTTACAAGGATACCAGTTCTGTGGGATTAGTGCCCTACCTTAATTACCTCCCTAAAGGCCCTATCTCCAGATATAGTCACAGGAATTTTGGGAGGATGCAATTCAGTTCCTAACAGTTATGCTAGGTACCAGGCACGTGGGAAGACCCAGTGGACTGGATATAAAACGTAGAAAATATTGAGAATATGAGTAAAATGCTGTAACAGTTCAGAGAGAGAAAACTCGAGATGGTAATTGAGTTGGGCTTTAAGTGAACGGGATCCAAGGGTATTTTAGGTAGAAAAAACAGTATATAAGGCAATTTTATGTATTTTGGGAAAGCAGCCAATCATTATTGGTGGAATTCAGGATATGGGCATGGGGCACATTGAGATTACACAAAAGATTGGAACCAGATTGCGGAAGGCTTTGGATGCCAAGTGTG